TAGTTTTTATGTCAAATATTTCCGCAATTAGAGCGTTACATAATATGCTCATGTACCGTTATTTGTTGATTATATCCACATTTTTGAGATTTTACTGAATTGTCACTTAAAAATTGCATTGATTTATGTTTCCGTTTCAATTTCTTATAATTGAAATTCACAAAGTTGCATCACTGACAGAATTGAAATTTTCAAAGAGCACATCTAAATTTTTTGAAATTTAATTTTAGCACGTATAAACACTAACTTTTTCAAAATCTTCATAATTGCAGGTGTCTTTTCCAGTAAAGTGTAATTAATCACAAATTAAACTTCACAATGTTTCCAAATTACGTACTTAACTTGCTTATTTTATCTTAGTCTGAGATCCGAATGCCATAATGTTTCTTGTCATCTCTATTTTCAATTGTCATTTTCATGTTACAATTAATTACTAAATTTATTTGTTTACTTTTCTCGCAAAAATTTTAAAAAGGTATTAACTTGAAAATTTTAAGAGAGTGAGAGAAAAAAAACTTATTTTGAGCTGATTTTCTCATTTACTAATAAAATTAAGTGAAAACTTTGTTTTTTTACAGAAATTTGCGAGATTGCTATAAATGTCATTTAGTCTATACCTATTGTAAGCAAATATTTGAAGAACAAATCCAATACGTGACAAGCTGTCACATATGTATGTAAAAAATATTTTAACTGTAACACACAGTTAATAATTTTACTCGTGTAGTATTTAATTTTCTCAAAACTTTGACTTTACGTCCAAAACGATGTTTCAAAAAAAAGCTGCCCGACTTTACCAATTAAAAAAAAGAAAAAAACAATTTCGTCGGCAACTTATAGCCCATCCTAATTGATTTAATTTCCTTGTTTTTTTTTTTTGCACAACGAAAACCTTCTTTAGGGCCCTTCTTTCATTTTCTTATACTTCATTTATAATTTTTTTTTCTTAATTCATAGCAGGTAATTTGCAAAATAAAAAAATTAAAATTAAAATCAAACCAGAAAAACTTTCAAAGATTGCAATCAGAACTTTAAATCAAAAACAAAAAATTAAAGAACAATCTAGGTAGATAAAAAAAATTCTCAAAAAAGGAAAAAAACAAGAAATACAGAAAAAAAGGGTATAGAAAATCATTTTATTGTTCATTTCCGGTCATCAATTTTCAAAGGTTTAAAACGGAACGTTTCGGCTTTTACCTTTTTTTTTTATTCTTTCTCAAATTAAGTACAAAAATCACAAAATATAAAAATAGAATAGAGGAAAAAAAAGACGATTCAAAAAAAAATTTCTTGTAAAATTTGAAAGATTTTAATAATAAAAAAAAAATGGTTTTCTTATTACAATCGCGGTAAATCAGCAAGTCTTTCTACCGGGGGCTCTTGGTAAATTTGAAAAAACAAAACCGTATTGGAACACAAAAAAATGAAAATAAAATCGAAAAATTAAAAAACAACAACAACAAAAGGATGTTTTTTGTTAAGCCTGTAAGAAACGCATTCTGGGACGTTCAATTTTTGGTCCACTATTTTGGGCACTGCAACTTCGACATTCAAGTGGTAGTTTATATGACAATCAATCTTTCCGTAAATTTTAAATGTCAGTGATTTTGCTCTTCTTTAATTTTTTTGTGTGTTCTTATTTGTCATTTGCGTGACAGTTAGTTGTCAGCATCAAATCCAGTCAGTTTCTACTTCAATTTTCATTGTGGAAACACTGACGGTAGCAAAAATGCTTCCAAAAACCATAAAGGAATTTAAATAAGTAAATTATTGAGCATTTGGTAAGTAATTAATTTTTCATTTTTGAAATTTCTTGTCTCTGCCGAACTCTGTGCAAACGAAAAAAGCAAACGAATTTTACACTTTTGGATTCGTTTACTTTTTTAGGTACTTACATGAGATATTTTGTTAATTTTGTAATTGATGATACTTCGGTCAGAGAGTCGGTAAATTTCTGAATTGAACACTCATATAAACAATCATCCATTATGTTTGTGTATAGTGCATACTGTTATCAAGATTCCTGATACTCGTAATTGGGTTTGATTACCATAAGGTAATGAGTACGGTTGCGACATTGTGTGAAAATTGCTTTTTTTTTAATTTATTTTTTTTTGCTTTAATTTTCCGGCTGTAAATTACTAATCAAGACCAAGAAAACAATAAAATTACAATTTAAATGTTAGCCATCATTTTTGATAAATGAAAAATTATTTAGTGGTTTTTTTTTCAATATAGAAAATTTGATTTTATAGGTTTTACAAAAGCAATTATAAAACTCAAGCAGACAGTAACAAGCATTTTAATGTTGTATATAATGAAACTTCTAATTAGTAATGATCATTTGGTTTAATTGAATTAAAATAAGTATAAATTTGTAGAATAATTTGTGGTCGTATATAAAATGTTTTACAATTTCGTCGAAATAAATGTTTGTCATAAATTTAATAATGATATTTATGTAAAGTTTTTATATCAGAAATACACAATTGAATAGATTTTATGAATTTTTCGAATTTTTATGTATGCAAAAGGGCATTTTAAGAAGCCTTGTTCGCTATCCTGTAATAAATGTATTCGAATATTTCTTTACTTCGAATATTGTTCAACTGTGATAGCTTTTTCACCAGACATATTCATCAATAGATTTCAGTGTTTGCAGAATTGAGGAATGAGAGTACTACTGAAATTGAATAGATATGTGTCAGTTACAGATACGTTAAAAACTGGAATATTAAGCAGCTTTTAAAACTTAATGTTATTTTGTTGGTATACTTAAAATGAAACACAGTCTGCTTCTACAATATTTCTTCTGTAGAGTGATAAGTGTCGAGGATGTTCAGCATTATTTTCTGAGAAGCATTTTTTAATTTTCGCTTGAACTTCTTTATTTTTCTTTAGGAATTTACATTCTCTTATTTATATAATCATCTAAAACATTTTATGCAAATAATATTGGTAAATAAATCCATTGTAAATTCCTAACAGAATCTAAAAATGTCTAGCATTTACTTCTCACCGCTAACTATATTTATTAATAAAGTTTATTAAATTTCTTATTCAACTTTCGGTAGTTTAAAATGCATTGTCGTTAACGTAAATAAAGGGAGAATGTGTAAGAAAGAGCGCTACTGTTGTTGCGAGCAATTTTTTTTTGAAAATTTCTAAAATATTTAAATAAATAAGAGCAATATTAAGTTAAACATATTATATTTCAACAATCAATTGGAGGTACACATAAAATTAAGGTATCATAAAATCATTCAAATATTAAATTTGCTTAGATTTCGAAAAATAATGCTACAATTTATTGAAGGCTGGAACATCAGTAACACTAATGGCGCTCAATTTTTTAATGAAATTTTAAAATTATAAAAATAAAGCTAAATTTAATCCGATTATTATGAATTTTGCTGATAACAGTAATTATACTACATATGTACATAAAGCATTCAATAGCCCAACTTTTATTAAATTTCAAATTAATTACTAAGGAAATATTTTCAATTAATAAGAAAATATTTCCTAAATTTTAATATTTCCAGTTATTTACTACGCATTTATTATACGCTCTCAAATCATGAATCATTTTATCATTATATTGTAATATAACGTTAGGTTGTATTTGTATACAGGTTTAATATATACAAACGTACAAAATCACTTTGTGTTTAACTTCATTACGATGACCAATCGCTTAAGCGCGTGTCCTATCAAAATAATAAGACAAGTCAAGAAAATGTAAGACACCGAATATATATTTTTTTTTGTAATATGATAATAATTATAATACTTAATGAAAAGTAATAGTAATGATAAAAGACTTACCGTTATAATCGCTTATACTTACCTAAATTATAATAACGTTATTTCCTGTCATATGAACTAGTTTAGTTCATGTATTAAATTTCACAACTAAAATAATTTTTTTGTACCTTATCATTTTACATTGTAATATTTAGGTAGATATATATATACATATATACATACATATGTGCACTCTCAAATATATGAGCTCGTACATTGACACCTGTTTGTTATTTTGTAATTTTTTCATAACTCATCAATTCATTGTTGTTCTCTGACACATTCATTTTTAAATCATTTCTTAGGATAAGTAAACAGCAATATATGACTTACTTAGTTATTCTCTTTATTATTGAGTTGATTGCATTTTTCGATTATGAAATTTACAGTTAAATTACAGTTTAAAATTTTCCCTTTAATGTTATTTGAGAGCAATATTTTAGAGAAGAGTAAAAAAAAAAAAAATAAAATCTAATTAATAAATGAGTCAAGTTATTAGAATATTTGGAAATCTTTTGTTTTATTTTTAATGTGGTCATCGTTTTCTGTATGGCATTTGTAAATTTTCGTACGTATTTGTAAATTTTCGTACATTTATTGTTAGCTGAGTCGGATCTAATCACAAAATATCTAGAAATTATTTAGAAAATTACAAAAAATTTCGTTGATGCACGTACAAAACTGTAAATTTAGTACCCGATATAGAAGTTCATTTTTGAAACTCAATTTTGTAGAAAGGTTTGTTAATTGTGTTTGTTGACAAAAAAAAAATCAAATTTTCAAAAATGTAAGATACAAAACTGGGGCTTGTAATAAATGCTCAGATTCTTAGTCATGACGTGCCCCAAAAGTCAATTATACCATTATATTCTCAAAGCATATCCTCCAACTTCTTTTTGAAAATCAGTTATGCCGAATTTGAGATTCAGGAGTGAATAGGCCGACAAATCGTTAAAGTGTGTGTCTGTTATGCAGTATGAATAAAAATATTTCCGATGAAACATCGACCATTAAAATCTAATGTAATTGCAGTACCACCTTCTTTGAACGTGAACGTCACGTTCCTTCATAGAACTTGGACACTATAATTAATTCGAAAATTTAATAACACAGAATATCTCTAAAATAAAATAATAAAGCACTAAAATTCAAGATTATTAATTTTTTTTTATTTTTTCTTCTATTTAAAACAGATTCTCGCCTTACAACCAAAGAACTACCAACAACAAAATGGAGGCGAGATCGTCGAATGCGTGCTGCACCTGAATATCATTTACCCCATAATATTGTAACAGGATTACCATCATCACCAGCAGCACATTCACCATCACCATCTCAAAATAATTCATCACCATCACCATCACAGCAAAAACCATTAACAGAATCAACAAATACCACACAAATAATTGAAAGTCCACTCGATATGTCAGTAACATCAACGACAATGAAACCAAGAAGTCCTCCACCACCATATAGAGAACCATTACCTGGATCAACATTTGCATCATTGGCCAGACCTAGTGTTATAACACAAGCACCTCCAAAACGTGATAGTAATTCTTTGATATCGAATAGAGAGAATGATAATCGAAGTCAAGGTATAGAAAATATTCAAATTAAGAAAAAATTATTGAAAATTATTATTTAATTGTTATTTACATTTTTAGCATTTTGCTCAAATCTGATTTAATCTTATTTTCTTTTATAAATTTTAGAATCAATTTCAATGTGTGATCCAGTAATTGATGAACATTTTCGTCGTTCTCTTGGTGCTGATTACTTGGTATTATTCGGAAATAATAATAAAATTAATAATAAATCATCATCATCAATTTCACCATCATCTGGTTCCAATTCACCAAAAATGTCATCATCCTCATTAGCAAGTGGTGCTTCATCACCAGCATTATCAACATCACCATCACTTAGTATTAAACCAAATTCACCAACAATTGAATCACCAACATCACCTAAACAGTTAACACCAACACCGGCGATAACAACAGCCGCAACATTAAATAATAGTGGTGCAACATCATTAACAACATCACATTTAACAAAACGTGAACAAAAAAACCAACCAAAACAACAACAACAACAGCAGGCGCATCAAATTAATAAACAACAAAAATCTCCAATTAATAATAGAAGAAGTCCTTCTCCACCACCTCGCACAACAACTGTTATGGTAACAAATGATAATTCTGTGGCACATTCAGTTGATGATCATTTTGCAAAAGCTTTAGGTGATACATGGCGTAAATTGCAAGCAAAAGCGAAACGCGATGAAGAAGACTAGTGCAACAAAATATAAATATTATATTAAATAAAATTTAGTTGTATGTAAATTAAAGAAAACACTGACTATCTAAAATTTAGGATTAACTAATTATAAAAACTATTGACTATATTTGGAAAAAATAATCACTTTTGTTTGGAGGATAAATTAAAAAATAGTCTAAAAATACAATTGATTAAACAAAAACGCCATTTAAACGAAAAAATTTTTGGTTTTAAGAAAATAATTTCAGATTTTGAAGAGCCCTGAATTAAAACTAGTTTTTCTATTTCATTAAATAAAATTTCCCTTTAAAATTTCTGAAAATAAAGATTACAAATTCACAAGGCTGAATTCAAAGTTCAGAAAAATCAATATTTTAAATTTTATCGTAAATTTTAATCATTTAGTCGTTCTCATCCTTGAATTGGCCATTGTTAGCCATTGATATTTGCGCATTTTGCGGTAAAATTAAATGACCTTACCTTAAAATTTCAATCACTTAAATTTTTAGAATCATTTTAAAATTTTTTTTTTAATTTAAGGGCATTTTGACGATGACATTTTTAACACTGCATTAAACTTCACCTGATGAATTTTATAAAATTTCAATTTTAAAATAATCCTGCAAGGATCGTACCTCTTTCTTAACTATTGGTATAACAATTAAAAGAAAAATTACAAATAGTAAAACGACTGCCAAAATTATCGTCTATTAATTAAAATCTAAATATTTGCATTGTATTCGATATTTTGTCAAATTAAGCGAATATGAAATTTTATTATTGAAAATTTATTAAATTAAAATAAATACAACACACACTGCATAAAAAATTATGATTTTAAAAATATGATTTTACGCTGCACTAATTTTATTAAAAATTTTATGAGAAAACCGGGAGAAATTCCCTGCACATTCATATTACAATAATATATTAGCGCATTGCCACACAATTTAGCTTGCAAGCTCAAATTATTGAATTGTTTAGGTTTGCATTAAGTTCAAAATTGCAATATTAAAGTATTAATACAAAATTCAGCAATTAAAAGATGTAAGCTGAATTGTATATTAATACCGTTATTATGGTAATTTTGAAGATATTATTGGAAATTGAATGTCGCATGGATTTTTTCATATTTTATCACATTTTTTTTTTACTAAAAAAAAAACTATGTGTAAAATTATTTAATAGACTTTAAATTTTATTTAAATATTGAATTTTTCATTTTCAAAAATATTTAAATTCAATATGCAATTTGTGTACAAAATAGTATTCTAAATTATATTGTATGTATACGCAATTGAAATTTAATATCCCGTGCAACTTATCCCGTGCTTCTTGCAATTTATTAATATAACTAAAAGCCCATTAAAATTCTAAATTTTTTATTTCTATACTATCAATAAATCATAATAAAATTCTCAAATTTTTATTAAAAATGGGGGCGGTTTCAGTTCTAGAATAGTCCTAGCTTGTAGTACGTTCGAAAATTCACACTGCATACACTTAAAATATAAATCGTTCGGAAATTACTGTTATTAAAGTAAGTTTTCTTTAAGTCTTCAAATCTTGTTACGATTTCTTTATTTTGCAAGCAATTGGGTGGCGAAAAGTATTGGGACAACGTCATTTCTGTTTTTTTTCGAAAGACTAATTATTTAGAAGTTTCAAAATTTGTAGACTACGTAAACAAAAAAAAAACTAAGCTAAATTTTTTGCATAGTATTTTTGCTGCTACTTAGAAATTTTAGTTCTAATGTAGAACTTTCAGCGCAGCGTGCATAAACGAAAACCCCCATGATATAAATTAAATTTTAAAATATTTTTTGGATAAATTAATTAATTCAAGTTCTATCGGGAAACAAACAGATTTGACTAGAATTTTTTTTTGAAAGAATATCCTTTAAATTTCTATAGCGTTTGAATTTATTTATTTTTGTAATGAAAAATTCGTATTTTAATAAGAGTTTTATAAATCTATATACTAAAATTATATACAAAATTTTAAATTTAAGAATTTTTATGAGTGTTTTTTCAATTATTTTCTTTTTTATTTAAAATTATTAATTATTATTAATTTGATTTCAATGAAAATTTTATTTAATTTAAATTTTTTTTTCCTTTTATATTATTGTTTTTATTCACAATAGATTATAAAATTATAATTTTAATTATAAATGTTATATTTAACTAATATATACATTAATTAATTTATCTATATTAAAAATAATATTCTACTTATTATTGAAAAAACGTGTTTTATATTTTATATAATTTTAAATTTTTTTTCTAATTAAATTCATAATTTATATAGCTAAGTAATTGGCATGAAATTTTCTAATTTTTATTTCTTTTGTGATTAAGTTTTTTTTTTTGTATGTAATAAATATTAATATTTAATAGAAGAAAAAAATGAAAGAGAATTCCTATAATTTTAAATAAGATTATTAATTTTTTTTTTGTCTCAATTTAAGTTCTAATAATAAGTGTAATATTTATATAAGATTTTATTTAAAATTATCAATATGTATTTAATAAAATAATAATAGAATAGGTTTTATTTGGAAAAATGAAATTGTAAGAGTTTATTATTTAATAAAAAATATCATTTGAGTATATGTCGTTCATTTGCTGTCATAACAGTGACATAACAGCGACATAACAGTGACATAATTTAAAAAATACGACTTCTGAATCATTTTATAAAAAAATGAGCACTTAAAATATTTTTTTTTTGTGCAAAACCACTAATTTTCCAGTTTTAAATGCTAGAAGCAGAAAAACATATTAATTACTTCAAAACCTTTAAAATTAGGAGAATTTCTAAAATGTCCAAATTTTGAGTTATGTCAGTGTTGCAGCAAACGAGCGATATTTAATGTATAATTATGAATATTTTTTATTCTCATAATTCAAAATATGAAAAGAAAATTTTAATTTTTAAAACTTACCATTTTTTTAATTTAATTTCATTTGGTAAAACAATAAAAAGAAATTAATATTAAATATCAAATTTATAAAATTATATATATTTGCCTATGTATGTATAATTGAATGTATGATGGAAATTAACTATAGATATAAAAAATTTGGCAAAGATTCTTAAATTATCGGTAAAGATTTCCTGACATAAATTTAAAAAATTAATTAAAAATAAATAAATAAATGAAAAAATAATGTATTTGTAAAATGAAACTATTAAAGAAAATAATTTATATTAAAAAAAAACAAAACAAAAAAGAGAAAAAGAAAATTATAAAAATATTATTAATTAAATTTATAAAACATAATTAATTACTAATAATGTTTTTTTTTTTCTAATTTTAAGGACTTTCTCACCTGTGGTGAAAAATAAACAATAATTATTATGGAAAATTTTAAAATATTTGTTTTTTTTTTTTTTATTTATTTATTTATTATTAAAATTACTTATTATTGAAATTGTTAGTAACCAACCATAAGTTTATTTATGTAATTGAATGTTATTCATCTTATATAGTATAACAGATAGGTCTTTTATAATATTAGAGATGTCGGCTTAAACAAATTAGTGGATTTGGAAAATTCTATGATTTGTAATAACATTAACAGTGTAATTTTTTAAAAAACATATGAGTAATTTGATAAGCAAAAATAAATTTTTTTTTAAATATTCAAATATCCAAAAAGCAAGAAACAGTTAAACCGTATCCATTAAAAAATTCCTTGTCTAGATTTTATATTCCAAAATATAAGTTATACTCGACGATCACTTCAACTATTCCATAATTAGAAATTCTTCAAATATTTAATCGATGTTAATTGAATTATCGGAAATTTTTTTTAATTATGAGCGCTTGAAATAGTGTTTGTATATTATGTTCTTAATTGTTGTAACTAAAAAAAATCGTATCCAATGTTGTCTTCTTATTAATTTTCCTCCTGTTCTTCTTACTTATTTAATTAATCTCCTTTAATCCAGTTCCAAGTTGTTTCAATTTTTAATTGTATTTTGTATTTCATATAGTTGATTAATGATACTCATTATCAATGGGAGTAATCCGAGTCTGACTAGTATTTCTTTATAAATAAATTAATATTTTTAGTTCGGCTTCTATTTATCAAATTTATCATGCAGAGAATTTATAATTTAAGATTTTTATTGATTTTTTTTTATTCTTGTCATTGTTATATGGTGAAAAAATAGGTGGTGAACAAAATACTTTCATTTTGTCATTATTATATATTTGTGCCAATTAGAAAGTTTTAATATTATATTTGTAAGGTTTCCCATATTTTTAAAGCTTCATCTTATTATTTTATAAAAAATTCCGAACTTTTATAAACTCATCAATTTAATACCAAAAATTATTTATTGATATGCAGTTTTGACATTTCAATTCCAGTTAAACTGTTAACCCATTGCGCACGAAGCGATTTAAATTTTGAGCAATTTTAAATATTTTAATTAGATTTTTTTTATAGTGGTAATATTGTCATATTTTGTAGTCAGTCATAATTTTCATAATATTTTAAAATACAATTAACCCTTGCGCATTTGAAATAAGAGCCATTATTTTGAGCGTAAATTTAACGATACTCCACCGGGAAGTAGTCAATTAAAAAATATCATTTAAATGCAATTCCCAGCTATTTAATTAAATTACATAAAATTAAAAATCCTTATCAATCAGGTCAGGACTTAAAAATTTATTTTTTTTTTTAATAAATTTATGATGAATTCTTCATTATAAAAGCACTGATTTCGAATGGTGCTAGAATTTTAAAAAAATTGAAATTTTTTTTTTTTATTTTCATTTCATATCTATTCACCAACCGATTTCAGTTCTCTTTAATGAAATAAAGGATATTAGAAGTTAAAAATTATGGAAATTGTTAGATTTTTATTTCAAAAAATTAATTTTTATAAATCACAATTATTGTCACAAAATTTTATATAGAAATTAATTTCGTGTTAATTTTTATCTAAAAATTTAAGAAAATTTTTTTTTATTTCGTTATTTTGTATATTTTTTTGTAATTCATTCATTTTTTTTTGATTCAGTTGATTTCCAGTCACTCGTCACAGTTTGCAAAACAACAAAACAAATGTCGTAACTTAAAAATATAAAGTGCAAATTAATCCATTCAAAAATATCAAATTACTTTATAGAAAAACAAGAAAAAGGCATGATAAAATTGCCTAAGATCGGGAGAGAACAAAGTCTACTTATTTCTATTTGTACATTCATATATGAACATACACAAATGTACACACACAATGTACAATTTATAAAAATAAAATAAATATCAAAGTATTTCATTTCAATTTAATTTTTTTTTCTCTTTACACTCTTTGTGTTTTAAAATTATTCCAACTCTGTGAACTATTTTGACAAGTTTTACACATAGAGTTTCGTTTTTACTACATGTACCTAAACGTCATTGTATATAAGAAAAATCACATTTAAAAATCATTGTACGTACACTTATTATAACAAATTAGTGTTGATAATCATATCACATCTATGGATGTCAGTTATTTAAGGAGCTGGATATATTATTGTGTAAAAGAAAATTAAATAAAAGAAATAATTATTTGTAAATATGTATAAAATTTTTCAAAAAGTTCAACTCAGTTTAATTATATAAAGAAACCATACTTGTTTTAGGTCCGTTCATTCAACCTATCCTATATAATAATCAGGTTAAAATTCATTCAATATGCTCAGTTAATGAAAACATACAGAAATTTTTGTATTGTATAAAATTTAGTTTTAAACCACATATGTACGCACACTTTTAATAAAATTAGTTGAACTGTTATACGAAAAAATAATTTGAATTTGAGAATTTATGTACTTATGAATGAATCATAATCATTTCAAAACTGTATTGTGGTAAATTTTGGAGAAAAATATGCACATAATTAAAAATTGAGTGTCCATCTTAAGTATTATATATTTATAATTCAAAAAAGTTCTAAATTTCTCACTCAAAATTTAAATTTTTAATTGAACATCTGAATTGATTTGAAATTTGTTTAATTTTTATCATTTATATCATTTTTATTGTTTATAAAATGAGATTTTCTAAAATATTTGAGAACTAAATTCACTTTGTAATTGAAAATTTTTAATAATACGTATTTTTTTACGTACTTACGTCAATTTAACCACTTCAGGAATACAGATTTGATTTTCAAATTAATTGTTTTGACATTTAAGTAATTATCCTAAATTATTTCCATTTAGATAATAATAGTGTAAGCAACCCCTATTTAAAATTGGAGTTGGACATACTATTTTCCTAAAATACTGAAGCATTTTTGTGTATGAATATGAAATATTTAAATAATTTATTAAAAAATAACGAAAATGCAATTGAACAAATCTTAATTTATTGGAAAATTAAATTTTTTAATGAAATGTCAAAATTGTCAAATGAAGAACGACAAGAATTAGTTTAACCGTTAAATATAAGGTATACTATTTAATTATACAAAAAAATTTTAGATTAAATTTACGACAAAATGTGATTACTGTTAACTTATCAGAACGAAATCATCTGATGGAGCCAAAGATTTTACGTCAAAAATTAATAATTTCGCTACAAACAATTATCATCAAAATATCTATTTTACTGTTAAAGAATCTGATAGTAATTTCTAATATCTGCTGTCAAACAAAGTCTGATGTCAAATAGTGTTCCCTTGAACCATTTTCATCAGACTCAAATTAAATCTTTGATTTTGTCGTATTGTAATTTTCTTTAATCAAATTTGAATAGTCCGCAATACTATTCTAAATATAATATTCTTCAATTATGAGACCAATATGGTATAATATTAAATAACCAAAAAATGGGAGCTACGGTCCTTTTAAGAACTTGTACCACTCATAACTATGAGTATAATTCTCTTAATTACGCCAACGTATATAAAAATAGTTAAAATGAGTAATTACTCACATTTATTCCAGTAGACGGTTTTATACATTTACGTTACATTGAAAATAAATGTCAAATCCTTAATATAACAAAT